CCCAAGGGGAGGGAGCACAGCTACATATGCAACTGCCTGGTGGACAGACATACACAGCCAGCACGCCCCTCCTCCAGCACGCAAGAAAGGCCTTCAAATGAAGTCGGAAGGTCACACCATTTTATTGCTCTCTTGTTCTCTGCAGAGCTGCAGCGAGCTGTGTGCCGGAGTATTCAACAACCCCATTTAAGCTCACATAAGAGATGTCATGCACTCACTGCCATCCGCAGATTTGGCTGGTGATGAAACGCCAGCCTGAGGGCTGCCAATATTTGTACAGTTAGTGCATTTGGAGATCCACTCAGTTTTATCTGAGAGCAGGAGACCGGAAAGGCGTCATGATCCCAGGGCAAAAATAGCCACACTGCAAAGATTTGTTATTTTTATTTTCCATTCAGATTTCTCTAACTAAGCACAGAAGCTGTGGGAAAGCCCAGACATCTGGCAGTTTTCTCTGAGTTGCTCACTGTTGTCGTTTTGCAGTTTGTAGTTTTTAATCATTTCTTTGCCATGGCGGGGGCCTCAGGCACTGGTGCACCTCAGACCCTCCTTTTCTCTGCCTGTGGCCCATAACAGAGAGACAAAGTGGGTGAGGCAATACCTCCCGATACCTTTTATCGGACCAATGTCTGTTGGTGAAAGAGACAAGCTTTCGAGCTACACAGAGCTTTCTTCAGAGAAAGCTTGTCTTTCTCACCAACAGAAGTTGGTCCCATACAAGATATTACCTCACCCGCCTTGTCTCTCTAGTGTTCTGGGACCAACATGACTGCAACGACACTGTGGTACATAATAGTTGAATCTCCTGTGGGCTGGAATATTTTGGACTAATTTTGATTGTTGGGTTAGTGTGAGGGGATGTGGTGGTGTTGGTGGCCTGTGATATAAAGGAGGTCAGACTAGATGATCTTGCGGCCCCATCTGGCCTTAAACGCCAAACACACACACACAAAAGAAATCTGCACAGTGAGGTCAACCAATATTGTTCACTGAGCCACGAGAGAACTGATGTGGAGAATGAGGCTGAGATTTTCAAGGTCATCTGAGAGAGCTGGATGCCCAGTTCCCATAAATTTCACATAGGAACCAGGCATCTAAATCTCCTAGACAGCTTTTGAAAACCCCTAAAGGCAAAGAACACAGGAATTACATAATGTGGAACAGACCCACAACCCATCTATTCTTATACACTATCTATGATTAATAGATTCACAGATTCCAAGGCCAGAAGGGATCATTGTGATTACCTAGTCTGCTCTCCTGTATAACACAGGCCAGAGAACTGCCCCCAAAATCATCCTTAGAGCAGATCTTTCAGAAAAACACCTACTCTTGATTTAAAAGTTACCACTGGTGGAGAGTAGCAGCCGTGTTAGTCTGTATTCGCAAAAAGAAAGGGAGTACGCTCAAATAAATCTGTTAGTCTCTAAGGTGCCACAAGTACTCCTTTTCTTTTCACTGGTGGAGAATCCACCAGAACTCTAAGTAAATTGTTCCAATGACTATTTACCCTCACTGTTAAAAATGTACCCTGTATTTCCAGTCTGAATTTGTCTAGCTTTAGCTTTCACCCATTGGATCATGTTAGACCTTTTTCTACTAGACTGAAGAGCCCATTATCAACTATTTGATCTCCATGGAGGTACTTATAGACTGTGATCAAGTCACCCCTTAACCTTAATTTGTTAAGCTAAATACATTGAGCTTGTTGAGTCAATCACCATAAGGCATGGTTTCTAATCCTTTAATCATTCTCATGGCTCTTCTCTGAACCTTCTCCAAAGTATCAACATCTTTCTTGAATTGTGGGCAACCAGAACTGGACACAGGATTCCAGCAGTGATCATACCAGTGCCAAATGCCTAGATAAAATAACCTCTATATTCCTACTTGAGATTCCCCTGTGTATGCCTCCCAGGATCACATTAGCCCTTTCGTCCACAGCATTGTTGCACTAAGAAATCATGTTCAGCTGGTTATCCACAACTGCCCCAAATCTTTTTCATACTCCCTGCTTCCCCGGATAGAGTCCCCCATCCTGTAAGAATTGCCTTCCTTCTTTGGTCCTTTGTATGCTGCACCTCATTGCTGGATGTTTTGTCAGAAGCTGTAAAACCCCAGGTATGTACGTAACAGTGCCACGCTATTACCATGGGAAGAAATTCCTTCCTGGACCCATTTGGTGACCAGTTTGTCCTGATCGTGAGGACTCACAACCCTTCCGAAGAGAGCGTTTGAGGATGTTGTTCTCACTTATCACGAGCTCTTCATATGAAATCCTTTTGTGAAACTCTCTGGGTAATTTACGACAATAAGGCTACTAGGGAACTGTATCGCTCTCACACTAAGTGAAGGTGCTACGAAGAGACCTGGCCCTAGGGTTTGTATGAGATCAGACATTGAGGCCAGGAGCAGTGGAAGTGCCCTAAATATGGGGTGGGAGGGGTCAGTAGGCACCCAAACCGTGGCCCTGCCCCCCTGAGCCATACCACCCCTTCTCCTTCAGCCCCCACTCCTGCACTGCCTCTTCCCCCAAGACCCTTACCCTGTACCACCTCTTCCCCCCAAACCCCGCCCCCTGCTCACTCCTCTCCGCCCCCTCCCCCTGTTGCTTGACCTTACAGCAGATAACAAGTGGGGTGCCATGGCCCCCTGGTCCCCCTGTTCCAGTGCCCCTGATTAAGGCTCCAGGCAAATAGCCTAGTAATCACAAGGGTGCAGGGCAAGCTGGTGGTGCTTGTCAGCAGTGGGAAACGCAAGGGTTTGTCAATGGGGCGGGGAATCAGGACATTTATTGGGGAGGCCTAAGGAGAGTCTCAGGGAGTTATATTGGGGCACTCAGAGGCACTGACTTTCTAAGCTCCCTGGTCCACCCCAGGCCCAGCCCCCACCCTGCCTCTTCATGTCCCTGTCTGGCCTCTTCCCGCCCTGTTGAGCTCCCACGCCCTGACCTCACTTGTCCCCCTGCCCCATAGCACCTCCTGCACACCACTGAACAGCTGACTTTGGCAGGTGGGAGGCACTGGAAGGGAGGGGGAGAAGCTGATTGGCGGGGCTGTCAGCAGGCAGGAGGCACTGGGGGGAAGGGGAGGTGCTGATCGGGGGGGCTGCCGGGCTGGAGCACCCACGGAGTCGGCACCTATGAGTTGCCATTGGAAGACTGGGAATATATAAGCCTCTTTCTTTCACAGTGATCCCAGAAGGCAGAGGTGGCCACAGACACCTGCTCAGAGTGAGCCACCCCCCAAAAAGCATGTGTCCCATTCACAAGGATCTCCGTGGAGTCCCATGTCACTATATAGAGCAGCAGTTCTTAAACTGCGGGTCAGGACCCCAAAGTGGGTCGTGACCCCATTTTAATGGCGTTGCCAGGGCTGCCTTAGACTTTCTGGGGCCCGGAACTGAAGCCCAAGCCCAAACCCCACCGCCCAGGGCCGAAGCCAAAGCCCGAGAGCTTCAGCCCTGCGGGCAGATCTCAGGTTATAGGTCCCCTGCCTGGACTTTGGCCCTCTGCCCAAGGTGGTGGGGCCCAGGCTTTGCCTTTGGTCCCCCCACCCAGGGCAGTGAGGCTTGGGTGGCTTAGGCTTCTGTCCCCCCTCCTGGGGTCATGTAGTAATTTTTGTTGTCAGAAGGGGGTGGGGGTGCAATGAAGTTTGAGAACCCCTGCTATAGAGCCATGGGTGGCTCAAAGGAGGAACCTGCACCATGGCAATGAGAACTGCAGCCAGGACCAGACAAGGCTGTCACTAGAATGGGGGGAGCGTGACCATTTTGGAATGACCAGAACAGATGAGGAGAATACATAAACAAATGGCTGTTCCCAACATGGCTGCCTTGAGCATCTGCTCTGGGTGTGTCCTGTTTCCTCTGTCCATCAGGCAGCAAAGAGAAATACTGGTGCCCATCCCACCATTGCTCTTTATAGAAACCCCTCTGTTTTCAATCCCTGGCCTTACACAGCAGAGCCAGGACCTGGGACCAAACCCATCATCTCAGCGTGGAGAGCTGGCACCGAGTTTTCAGGAGACTGATGATTCAGGCTCTCCCTTTTTCTAGAGAGGGCTTCATTTGGGTTTGGGTGTTGCTCTTGCAGTCCCAGTTTAGCTGCTGGCTACCACAGCTGAAGGACTCCCTCTGTTTCATGGGTTCTCACCTGCATCTGTCCCTCAGGCTTCCTCAAGTCAGCTTTACGTTATGCCTGTAACTCCTTGTTCTGTGTCTGTATCAATCATAATGGCAGCTGCACGTTCCGGCACCACCTCAGCTGATGGCAGGGTCTGTGGCCTGTCCATGTCGCCCTGTCTCAGCATTCTTCCCTGCTCCCCTAGCCTGCACAGATGCTGATAACTCATTCCCTGCCCATCTTTACTGACTATTAGAAAAGAGAGAGACTCTGTCATTGGGCACAGTGAAAAATACCCCCCGACAGTCCTGGAGGCTGAATGGTTATATCCAGTATGGGCAGAGAGGGTAATTCAGTCTCCAGGGCCCATTTCATCCTGGGCCTTCCAACCATGCGGTGGGCAGCAGCTCACAAGGAACTAGACTGAGATCACCAGTTTAGTTCACCCGGCCTACTCATTAGCCTGGGCTAGTCGGGAGCCTGCCTCCTGAGTGCGAAAGTCACCGTATCTCATTACCAGTGCTCTGAGCCATCCAGTCCCCCGCTGATCGCTTTTGATCAAAGCCTTTCCAAGCTGATCTATTTTCAGCCTTACCCACTCAATACCTTGATTGCTACATGGCTCTTTTAGCTGCTCTTAGGTAAACATGCTGTTGCTCCCTGGCATTTTGCCTCGCTGAGCCCAAAATAAAAGTTATGCAGAAAATAAGTGAAACTGTTTTCCTCTGCCAGGAAAAGCGGTGCTAATTCTGCAATAAGCTGTCTTTCTTTCCCCACCTCATTGGACTTATATACACCAGAGAATTATGGCCGAACGTGCCTGAGACACCACACAATACACATCCAAACATGACATTTCTGATGATAGTGCCTTGGTGATCACACCTCCCGTGGGATTGTGCTCACTTTTACGTATATTTATTTAGTACTTGCATTGCAATGGCACCTAGAAGCCCCAGTCGTGGACCAGAATCCAACTGTGCTAGGTGCTGTACGAAGACTGAACAAAAATACAGTCCTTGCTGCAAGGGAGTTTACAGTGTAATTCAGGAGACGACAGACAGAGTCAGACAAGGCAGTACCAAGAAACAATGAGACAATATTGGTCAGCGTGGTAGGCACCAGCAGCCTAATCACTGTCATTGTTTTTTTAGGCATCACAGCAAAGGAGAATGTTGAGGAGGGATCTGAAGGTGGACAACGAGGGGGCTTTGCTTGCATGAGGCAGGACACATCATAGACTAGCAGCACAGCTCCGCCAACTCTGAGGATTAGACCCCAGGCTGTATATACCGCTCAACAGTAGTTTCTGCTGCTGCTCTCACTGGTGGTGAGTGAAGATGCACCCAGTGCGGACAGGCACTGTGTCCTCCATTACCATGTACTGCAGACAGCTAGCACTGGTGCGATCCTACCGTGCTACACTTCAGAAACAGCTTTGGCAGGTGAGGGAACCAGCTTTATCACCTGTTCAGAAAGCTGCATGCATGCCAGGTGAAGAACAGCAGATGGGGTATACTTGGCTGGACTCATGTCTGCCCATTCCCCTACAACCAGTCCAGGGCAGGCTTGAGAGTAATGCAGGTAGTACTGTGCTCAGAATAGATTGAATTACAAGATATCACTTCAAGGTTGGGCAGGATTATGAAGATACCTGGCAAATCTCCACTGGTGATGATACACATTGGAACCAATGACTTGACACCATGTGGAATTACACAGATTCGGGAGAGATTCAGGATTTTAGGAGGCAGATGAAGAAGAGGAAAGTCCAAGTGATATCTTCAAATATCCTTCCGGTCTCATGAGCGAGAGAAGGCAGAAAATACTGGATGTGAACCACTGGTGGTAGCACGACCGGTGTGAAGCTGAAGATTTTGGTTTTGTGATGCTTTGGGCCACATTCCAGTGGGAGAGGGGGCTGTAGGAACAGGATGGCATCTCACAAACAACGGGCTAATCTTCTCAGCTGGAGGCTAGCTGGAGCAGACAGGAGGACGTTAAACTAACAACACAAGAGGGGGTATTGACGGGAGAAATGTGCGACACAGGAAATTTTTCCAACTGTTTATATATCGAAGCTAGGAGCCTGGGTAAGCGGGCATTACTGAAACTTGGTGGGACGACTCGTAACATTAGAATGCCAAAATCACTCGTTATAACCCGCTCAGCAAGGATAGAGAGCATAACAGAGGTGGGGGGTAGTGCTCTACATTAAAGACACCATTCCCTGTTTTAGAGTTAGCTCAGAAGTGCAGGATCTTGAACGCATACAGATCAGTGTGCTAACTAACAAAGCCCAGGAGGCGGTAATTGTGGAGGTCTGTTACAGACCACTGAATCAAACCAGGATGAGTTATTGCCTAAGCATCTGTCTGTTATGTGTGGAAGGAAACACTGTGCTGTTCTGGGGAACTTCATTTTGGGAGACATATGCTTGAAGATGCAGGCAGCCAGTAGTAAAATATCATTAGAGTTTTAAAAAATTATAGATGATTTTTCTAACACAAAAGGTATTGTACTCAACATAAGGCAACTCTATTTTGGACCTCATTATGATGGATAAAGATGAATGAGTTACTGGGCTGCATTATTATTGGTAATTCTACCATTCCCATCTAGCAATGTATCAATACCATTGTTAGGATTCTTTTTGTTCCTAATATACTTTTAAAACTCCTTCCTATTGTCCTTAACTCCGCTGGCCATAGATTTCTCCTTGTCCTTTTGCTTTCCTTTTGTCCTTTTGTGTCCTTTTGCTTTCCTTATCAATTTTCTACAATTCCTAGCTTCTGATTTATATTCATTACTATCAATTTCTTCATTCTTCAATGGGCTATATACTGTTAGTTTATTTTTTAGAGCTCCCTTCATTTCCTCTCTAAGGCAGGTTGGATTTTTTAACCAGTATGGCCTTCTTTCTTAATTGTGGGGCTGTGGCTTTTTGGGCATCTAGTAAATTGTTCTTAAACATACTTAGCACAGTTATAATTCATATTTTTCTGGCCTTAAACATATGAAGCCTATTAATCTAATCAATGTGGTGTTAGAAACGCAGTGGCCACTGGCATTTTATCTACACTTGAGCTCCAGGCCTTGGGCAAACTTTTGTCTTTTGATCTAGTTATTTTTAATGTACTTGTGGCACCTTAGAGACTAACTAAAATTTATTTGAGCATAAGCTTTCATGAGCTACAGCTCACTTCATCGGATGCATCGGTAGCTCATGAAAGCTTATTCTCAAATAAATTTTTTAGTCTCTAAGGTGCCACAAGTACTCCTTTTCTTTTTGTGAATACAGACTAACACGGCTGCTACTCTGAAACCTGTCATTATTTTTAATGTGTGCATCTCTGTGGTAGCTAGGTACCAAATGAAGAATTACCCTATTTTACCAATTTTACTATTTTACTAATTTACCAGCAGGACAGTGGGGTGGGAGGAGGTATTGTTTCATATTCTCTGTGTGTATATAAAGTCTGCTGCAGTTTCCACGGTACACATCTGATGAAGTGAGCTGTGGCTCACAGCTCATCTCAAATAAATTGGTTAGTCTCTAAGGTGCCACAAGTACTCCTTTTCTTTTTACCCTATAGCTGTTTGTTAATGGGCCACTTCACCTTGAATGGTCCCTTGAAATATGTGTTAACTACTTATGTTAAACAATTTGTTCCATCATGTATTTAACTGTGACACTCTTAAGTAAGTTTTCAGAGTTACAGCCCTGTTAGTCTGTATTCGCAAAAAGAAAAGGAGTACTTGTGGCACCTTAGAGACTAACCAATTTATTTGACCATAAGCTTTCGTGAGCTACAGCTCACTTCATCGGATGCATACTGTGGAAAATACAGCAGATGTTTTTATACACACAAACCATGAAAAAATGGGTGTTTATCACTACAAAAGGTTTTCTCTCCCCCCACCCCACTCTCCTGTTGGTAATAGCTTATCTAAAGTGATCACTCTTCTTACAATGTGTATGATAATCAAGGTGGGCCATTTCCAGCACAAATCCAGGTTTTCTCCCCACCCTCCTCAACAAACCCACTCTCCTGTTGGTAATAGCAGTCTCTTGCTGGACTCTGGTTTTGAAGTTTTTCTGTTGTAATATCGCAACTTTCATGTCTGTAATCGCGTGACCAGACTCCAGCGAGAGACTGCTGAATTGGAATACATTTGCAAATTGGATACAATTAACTTAGGCTTGAATAGAGACTGGGAGTGGCTAAGTCATTATGCAAGGTAACCCATTTCCCCTTGTTTTTTCCTACCCCCCCCCCCCCACCCCCTTCCTCAGACGTTCTTGTTAAACCCTGGATTTGTGCTGGAAATGGTCCACCTTGATTATCACACACATTGTAAGGAGAGTGATCACTTTAGATAAGCTATTACCAACAGGAGAGTGGGTTTGCCACAAGTACTCCTTTTCTTTTTGAGTAAGTTTTGCAGACCTGAAGAAGAGCTCTGTGTCAGCTCGAAAGCTTGTCTCTCTGACCAACAAAAGGCGGTCCAATAAAAGATATTACCTCACCCAGTTTGTCTCTCTAATATCCTGGGACCGACATGGCTACAACACTGCATACAAGGATCCAGCTGTCTGTCACACCTTGATTACACGACTTGGACTTAGTAGATTCCTTTCTTTTTAAAACTGACCCATGGAGAATGACAGGGCCCTCCCTAGACATTTTGGTGCCCTACACAGCACACCCCCCCCGCGGGAGGGTGGGGCACGGCCCCACGCCTCCACGTGGGGAGCAGGAGCAGGCAGGAAACTGCCCCCCAGCACGAGCCGGCAGAGCAGAGCGGGCTGGGGCTGGGTCGCTCCAGGTCACTCCCTGCTGCAGTCCCCTGGGATGTAGCTCAAGGGAAAAAGTGGACTGGGGGCTTTGGGGAGGGGTGGAGTGAGGGCAGGGACGGAGCAGGGGTGGGAAGAGGTGGGGTGGGGGCATACCAGGGGCAGGGGCTTTGGGGAAGAGGTGGAGCAGGGGCGGGGGCAGCTTTCCTGGCCAGCTCAGCCGGCTGGGGGACTGGGCTGGCCGCTGGAGCAGCACGCAGCTGCATAGGGCACCAGGAAATTTGGGGCAATTTGGTGCTCCAAATTTCCTGCTGCCCTACGCAGGTGCGTAGTTTGCGTATATGTAAGGACTGCCCTGGAGAATGATTCTTCTGCCTTTTTTACTAGGGGAATGGGGAAAGATGACTCCTCAATACAGTTAGGTTTTTTGCTGCCTCTGGACTTCTATTGAAAGTGCCACACGGGATATGTAGCCTTCATGAAAAGCAAAGAGGCCCTCACTATTTTTAAGGGCAATCAACTTGGTTGGCTGCGTGCCATAGGCTCCATCTGCACTATTTACCTTTGGCCTAACTTTACTCCTGTTGATGACCATGGGAGTTTTACTATCAATTTCCATGGGAGCAAAGCCAGGCCAACACGGAGTGCGTCTGAAAATCCCATCCTATGTTAGAGCGGCAAAGAGTCCTGTGGCTCCTTATAGACTAACAGACGTATTGGAGCATAAGCTTTCGTGGGTGAATACCCACTTCGTCGGATGCATGTAATGGAAATTTCCAATGGCAGGTATAAATATGCAAGCAAGAATCAAGCTAGGGATAACAAGGTTAGTTCAATCAGGGAGGATGAGGCCTTCTTTTCGCAATTGAGGTGTGAACACCAAGGGAGGAGAAACTGCTTTTGTCCTTGGCGAGCAAGTCACAGTCTGTGTTTAATCCTGAGCTGATGGTGTCAAATTTGCAAATGAACTGAAGCTCAGCAGTTTCTCTTTGAAGTCTGGTCCTGAAGTTTTTTTGCTGCAGGATGGCTACCTTTACATCTGCTAGTGTCAGGATTTGTGCTGGAAATGGCCCACCTTGATTATCATGCACATTGTAGGGAGAGTGGTCACTTTGGATGAGCTATTACCAGCAGGATAGTGAGTTTGTGTGTGTGTTTTTTGGGAGTGGGGTGAGGGGGTGAGAGAACCTGGATTTGTGCAGGAAATGGCCCAACTTGATTATCATGCACATTGTGTAAAGAGTTGTCACTTTGGATGGGCTATCACCAGCAGGAGAGTGAATTTGTGTGGGGGGGTGGAGGGTGAGAAAACCTGGATTTGTGCTGGAAATGGCCCAACCTGATGATCACTTTAGATAAGCTATTACCAGCAGGACAGTGGGGTGGGAGGAGGTATTGTTTCATATTCTCTGTGTGTATATAAAGTCTGCTGCAGTTTCCACGGTATGCATCCGATGAAGTGAGCTGTAGCTCACGAAAGCTCATGCTCAAATAAATTGGTTAGTCTCTAAGGTGCCACAAGTACTCCTTTTCTATCTGCTAGTGTGTGTCCAGGGAGGTTGAAGTGTTCTCCTACAGGTTTTTGTATATTGCCATTCCTAATATCCGATTTGTGTCCATTTATCCTTTTACGTAGGGACTGTCCAGTTTGGCTGATGTACATAGCAAGAGGGGCATTGCTGGCACATGATGGCGTAGATTACATTGGTGGACGTGCAAGTGAATGAACCGGTGATGGTGTGGCTGATCTGGTTAGGTCCCGTGTTGTTTCTACTCTCTAATGGAACTTCTCATCTGCTAATGGAGGCTCTCTTCATGGGCAGGCAGAGCCTTCTCAAGGGGAGCACGAACGAGGGTCTGAATTCTGTTTCCAGTGCTGAAGTTGCAAGTGGCCATGGCATGCAGTACAGTAACCAGCCAGAAGAAAGCAAAACCAGGGACAATTCTATAACATTCACCCTCATTAACAGTGCTGAAAAAAATAGCGGTGACAACACACATCCGCAGCTGTATTTCACCACAGGGCACTTTCCCTCCCACTTACCATGCAACTTTCCGAATTCCCTGGCAAACACAGGGCTCTTCTGGTGCAGGAGGAAAAATAAAGAACTGACGTCTCTGAATCTGAGAAGGTGGCTGGGCTCAGGAACTCGGGCTGCAGCGAGGAGGCCTGACCTTTCAGCTCTGAGAGGAAGCGGCCTGTCAGCTCTGGCTGGATTGCAGTTGGTGTTTGTGTTACAGAGAGGAGGGGGAGTTCTGAGAAAGGGCAGCAGGAGCCTAATGAAGGAAAACAAAATGGTGAAGAGCTTGAGACAAACAGCAAGACTGAAAGCTCTTATGTAACTATATGCTGGCTGGGTGTGCTGTTCACTTGTCTCAAGCTGAGTGAGTTGTTCTATCCTTCTGGGGAAAGTCCTAGGGAAAAAATAAGGGATGAAATGGCTAGGACTTTATAGAAATAAAATTGGATTCTGCAGGAACTACTCCAAAATCCTAGAAACTTTTAAAACTCTAGGGAAATATGATCATTTACTATTAAATTCTCTCGGAACTTTCCCTACGGCATTATACTGCTGACCCTCAACACCAATAAATAAAATGAATCTGATTAAATTAAAATCAGAGACATGGTGTTTGGTGGTGTTCCTCCTCACAGTTGATAAGCCTGATGTGCAGGAGTCATCATTTATGATTACTATTGTGATCATGCCTAAGGATCCCAAACAGGGTTCAGGGCCCTTGTCCAAACAGATTTCAGAGTGGCAGCCGTGTTAGTCTGTATCAGCAAAAACAACGAGGAGTCCTTGTGGCACCTTAGAGACTAACACATTTATTTGGGCATAAGCTTTCGTGGGCTAGAACCCACTTCATCAGATGCATGGAGTGGAAAATACAGTAGCAGGTATAAATACCCAGCACATGAAAAGATGGGAGTTGCCTTACCAAGTGGGAGGTCAGTCTAATGAGACAATATGCTCAAATAAATGTGTTAGTCTCTAAGGTGCCACAAGGACTCCTCGTTGTTTTTGTCCAAACAGACAATCCCTGGCCCAGTGAGCTAACAATCTAGTGCAACACCATAACAGGGATCGGGCCTGAGGACTCTGGATCTAAATGCATGAGCCTCTACTGCTTGAACTAAAAGACCCCAGCTCTGTTAGCCAAGGCTGCATCAGACTCAGCAATCTCTGTGGCCCAGCTGATATGAGGGGACAGACCACCACACTGAGTGGGCGTGACTTACCTGTTATCTAAACCCTAGTGTAAGAGGTGAACAGAGAGTCAAACGAGGAGTGCACTGGTGATAGGTGTCTTTGCGAAGTCAGTAGTCCGAGCTGTTATCTGCCTGACGTGCCCCGTCCCACAGGAATACACTATTATGATGGCATAGTTGGCAACTTCACTAAGGCCAAAATTGGGTGCCTAGAGTTAGGTATCTCAGGCCACACCGTAGGCCCCCAAAACAGTTTCCTTGTGTCACCTCTGTCCATTCTCCTATCTCAACGCTCCCTTGTGTTCTCCGCCCACACCTCTTTTCATGCTGTACCCAGCCCTGAAAGAATAACCCTCTTCCTCTGAGCTAGTACTAATCCTCACTCTTTGAATTCTCAACTCAAACCCTGTATTCTTTGCCCTCCGCTCCTGTGCTATCTACCCCTCCCCTTTTGCCCCCTCTGCTTAAAAATACAGCTGAGTTTATAAGATTTCTGTGCAACATCCTTTGACTCAGCTGATCTTTATTGGTCATAGCCCGTCTCCATATGTTACGTTCACCTGCCTTGTCATTCTCTTATGCTTTCCATATACGTGTCATTATATTGTTTCCATCTGAACTGACATTTAGGGTTGGTTGGGGAAAAAAAGGAGGAGTAAACTTCCACAAAGAATTTAAAAGTTATTTTTGTTCCATAGGCTTTGAAAAAGAGTGATTTTTTTTTTTTGCTTTAAAAATTCATGAAAAATTTGCATAGTGAAAATTTGTCATTTTGGTAATTTTATTTTTTTCCACAATTCACTCCTGAAAAGTCGAGGGAGGAAATGGACCTTGAGACACCAGCTAAATTTGTTTTCTGATTTTGTTTAAAAACAAACAGACAAACCTAAAGCTTTTTTGCAAAGGTCACCTCTTTAAAAAAGAAGTCACTTTTCAACTGCACTAATTTTTGTTTGAAAAGTTTTGAAGAGCTCTACTTTCATTTTACATTAAGAAAGAACAAAAGCAAAGTCTTTGTCAGAGAGCACAGCGTATGTAAGAACGTACCCTTGTAACAGGCTGCAACAGCTCTGAGAGAAAGATGGCTGCCTATAGGCAGAGTTCTTAGACTTCGAAAGGTGCAGTCCTCTGAAAACAACAGCACAACAGTTTCAGTTACATACACCATGTCTTCCTTTTCTTATGTGGTGTAACATAGACAATAGGCTGTTTGGGACAGGAAGCACATATTTATCTCTGTGACAAGCCATGAAAAGATATGGTGTTATTTAAATAATAAACACTGAAGAGTATCTTCAGCAATGACATTCCATGCCATTACTTTCCTCTTGGACCATCCTAAATCATTCCTCTAAGGGACAGAGAGCTTGTGTCTAGAAACAACACAAGAATTCATTGGCAGAGATAGAAACTAAATCCAGGAGTTCTGACTTCTATTTCTGTGGTCTGGGCTCAGTGGCAGATTAATGCATGGGCCATGGAACTTGTGTCCAGGGGTCCCAGCCAATTTGGAGGCCTCGGGAGTGCCAGAAACTGTGTAGAAGTGTGTACGGGGGGTCTCTGCCCCCTTCTCCTCCTCTTCTCCCCAGGGCCCGGCCCCTCCTCCATCTGCCCTGGGTGGAGGGCCAGGGGGCTGAGAGCAGCCCCCGGCTAGTGTCCCCATCCCCTGGGGCACGCCATCCAGAGTTCTCAACAGCAGCCCGGGCTCCCTGGACAGCTCCTAACACAGCCCGGCTCTGGCTTCTTGCTTGGCCTGGGGGCAGGGCCTCAGGGGCAAGAGGAGGAGCAAGGGCAGGGCCCTGGGGCGAGGGGGGACTAAGGCCCACCTCAGCCCCCCACTGGGAAGAGTCTGGTGCTGCTAGCAGGGGCTGTGATTTGTGGTGAGGGAGCTGATCATCTTATCAGCTCCCCTGCCTGAAAGCACAGCCCTGCCACCACCACTCTGAGCCCGTGCAAGACTACTATGCATGTTAAAAAGAGGGGGGAATGGCTCCCCAGTTCCGGTGCCCCTGGGTCCCCGGGATGTCGGGGGCCCAAGTGTTCTTTGTGTCCAGAGCCCCAATAAATCTTAATTCACCTCTAGGCCTAGGATCCCATTCCCCCAATTCTTGGGATCAGACAGGAATACCCCTCTTCAGATCTGACCCAACTCCTACTGAAGTCAACAGAAAGCCTCCCACTGATTTCAGTCGGCACTGGACTAGGCCCAGCGTTAAGGGTAGAAACTGGAGAGAGACTAGGAAGGATGTGCTAAAGCAGGTGCTGGGACCCCGTAGGGAGCTGCATGGTAATTATGCTTGACTCAAAGCAGATGTGGCCCATTAGACAAAGGGGGTGAAAGTAGCTAGTTGGAAGAGTACGGGGGGGGACAGGGGGACAGACAGCTCTGAGAGCAGTGGCAACAATGCCTGGGGAGAAGGCTTAGGCTGGGTTTCATGTAATGTTAGTCACGCCCTCCTAACCTATTTACGCTGAGTGCTGGAATCTTATTGTGGACTCCATCAACTTATAAACCCCCTCAGACTTAGGCCGGGTCCACACTACAGACCTATGTCTGCAACAAAAGCATCCAGATCTCTATTATACATAGAAATAGTGGTAGCCAATAGGTTCAGTGGTAGCCCGTGGACACATAGCGAGACCATGGATGACAAGCGGAGAATGAGAACGGGTATGGGCAACGGGTGAGGCTTCCCCTTGGGGACACTAGCCCCCTGCCCTTCCTCTTCCAGCCGAGGCCACACCCCCCTCACTGCTCGCAGCCCAGGTGGCCCTGGCTGGGGCGGACGACAGGGGGCTGAGAGCTCAGTCGGTGCCATGGAGGGAGGTGCTGAGAGCTTGGCCCTGGCCAGGATCAAGCTTTCAGCCACACTCAGGACCGTGGTGGAGCTCTCAGCTCTGGCTGGAGCTCTGAGCCCAGAGTCCTTCCCCCATTTCACCACCTCTGCCCATGGCCCTGCCCGTGGCCCCACGCCATTCTGCCCATTTCCCTGTGGCCCCGCCCCAGTTCCATCCCCACTGAACCTCTTCCCCCGAAGCCCCACCCCCTGCTGACTCCTTCCCTCCCCACTGCGGACTCAAGAGCCCGCTGTGGCCCATTGCCATGGGAGGGAGGGAGAGCTCCTCCAGCTCCAGGGCCGTGGCAGGGGGCGATTTTTCTGGGGGCCCCAAATCCGCCACTGCCCTCCCCAACCCCCCCCCCAGCAGCGCGAGGTTTGGGGTGGCTTATCCTCCCCCAGCCTCCATTACGCGCCACCCCTGAGAACAGATCAGAATCACAGGAGACAGAATCCATAATAATTGGGGTAAATGGGAGGTGGAGGAGAAGAAGAAACACCCCACTGACATGGATTTGAAAGGGGACACATATTGCTGCTATGTAGAACGTCCAACTGCGCTGCACATACAGCCTAGGGCCTGATCCAAAAGCCCATTGAAGTCAATGGGAAGTCTGGTAGGGGCTTTGGATCAGACCCTAAGTTCTGCTGTGCCCATGCCTGCCTGTCAGCCCCTGCTCTCATTCGATACACCTGTTGGAAATGCAGCACAGGATTACCTTCCATTAAAACATTTAGTGGCAGTGAGACAAACAGGGATCCCAGATATAACAAGCAGCTGCCTTGCTCGGAGACAAATCAATCTTATAAACAAAATGTGCAATAGTCACCGTGCCTGACAGTCAGTGCTGCAGACCCAAGCGGGGAACATAGTGCTGAAAAATAAGTAAAAGGGAAATAAACGCTTAAGAGCCCATCCATGCAGGATCGGGGAGGAGCACTGGTTTCCATCAGAAAGCTCTCTCCCTCCCCCGGCACATTGATCTGCTGCCAAATAAAGCCTCTCTTTCCCCCGTGGCTGCTTTACATTTGCATGCTGTAATTTATAAGGGCCAGAATCTGATCTCAGTTCCACTGGTGTAAATCTGGAGTGGCTCCAGTGATGTTGAGAGCAGAGCTCAGCCTGAAGAGCATAAGCAGTGGGCTGGGGAAGACTCACACGTGGCACAGGCCAGATAGCATGAGCCCTAGTAATTAGTCCCACTGAATATCTTCCCAGGATCTCATTACTCCATTCTCTCTCCACTTGGGCTCTAGCAATCACCCGCTTTAGCACTGCCATGGAGGAAGCACTTCACACTGCAGACACTTGTCCCCCCCCCCCCCCCCCCCCCAACCCACTCTGCTATCCTTTCCTCCTTGCTAGGAGTCTGCAAGAACGGAAGCCCACGTTGTCCAGCACCCCATATTCATGTCCCAGCAGATATGGCAACCAACTTGAATCTGCCTGATCCTGCATAGCGCTGAGCACCCATGACTCCCACCGGCATCCGTGGGAATGGAGAGGGCTCAGCTGTTTGCAGGTGCAGGCTCAGCACTTTGCAAGATCAGGCCCCACAACCTTTGGAAGCCAGAGGCAAGGTTTGTACAAAAGAAGCCATGCTGATGCCTCACAGCTCTGTGCATTTTTAGTGGCACTCCAGTGCTAATTGCATCTGAACATCTCCTTGTGTATTTGGGTACTTATTTTCCAAAGACAGCTCCTCAGGGTCATTTTCTTCCTTGGCTTGAAAAAACAACAACAAAATACCACACCCTAGCTTTTCCCCTGGCTGTCTCCCTCATTATTATAACCCTGCTGTTCTGCTCCTGGTCTGTCAGCAGCAGAGGAGTTCAATCAGGCTGATGAGTAAAAGTGCATAATTTTATGGCTGCATATCAACTGCCTGTTATTAAACTAATCAATCAGCTTCAGATGCTGCCAGCACAGCTACCGGTGCAGCAGAGGAGAGGGCGAGTGAAAGAATCGCTATGTCATTATTTTTCCAAATGGACAAAACCCCAATTCCGGCCAACTGAATTCTTCAAATATCCCCTTCCGCCCACACCAGCAAATGACTTGGGTGAATTATGGGCAAGGTGACTTGCAGAAAGGTAGCTGGAATGAATGCACTGCCCTTCCAATCACCTACAGCAGGAAGCCTTAATACGTGGCACTTGGGCACAATCCAAAGCCCTTGGGAGTCATTGGGAGTCTTGTCATTGAAGTCAAGGGGCTTTGGATCAGGCTCTGCTCTTGTACCGTCCAGATGAGGATCTCCACGTGCTTTATGAATGCTAATGTGCTCAGTTGGACAGCAGCGCTGTGAAGTAAGTGCTACTAGTCCCACGTTGGGGAAGGAGAAATTGAAGATCAGGGAAATTTAGGCCAAAGATTTAAGTGCCTACACCTAGGCACTTAAATCCATCATTTAGGAGCCTAAATAATGATAGCCTGACTGGCAGGGCCAGGGCTAATTGTTAGTTTAGGGTAGGGGGCTGGGCCCCCACACCAGCCAAGCTTCAGGACCAGGTGAAGAGCCGTGATTCAGATACCAGGAATCAGGTCAAGTCAGGACACCAAGAGATCAGGACCAAGATACAAGAGCAGGTAGTGCTGGGTGAACAGTCCAAAGCAGGATGGAGCCCGGTTGTACAGACAACTTCCTGTTCCTCCTTCTGGCTCACATCGGGGAAGCAGGTCAGTCTGAGCACCAGTGTTACACCAGTTGGGGCCCAGGAGTGGAGCCTCCTATCTGAGCTAGGCTCAGTGCTTAATTTGTTCCAGGGCTTGCCAGGGCTGAGCTCCGGCACCTCTGGGCTTGGCAGTTCATAGCCCTGGCACCTCTGGGCTTGCGGTATTAGTTATGAATGTAGAAAAATTGCTTGAGTCCCGGCATCTAATTGCTTGAGCCCTGGTACCTCTTTCATTACAAATTAAGCACTGGCTGGGCTTCAAGGAGCTCTGGTTCTAGGTAATGCCAGCAAGCTGTCGGGTCCCATGATGAGTCCCTACAGACCCAGGTTCAAGCCCCATGAGGCTGACTTTGAGAGCTGATTGCATTAATGGGGGCAGTGGGTGCCCTACACTTTACAATAATCAGGCCTCTTATTTAGGTGCCTAGTGTTAGGCAACCACGGTCCCTCTCCGTCGAAGCACTTAAGCACGTGCGTAACTGGACTCACATGTTAAATCCCACTGATGTCAATGGGACTGCTCACATGCTTCTGCTTCCACCCAGGTAGACGTGCTTTGCTGGCCAGGTGCCCATGTGATCAAGGGTCATCGAGAAAGTCTGTGGCAGGGCTGGGATTTGAATCCCAATTCCCAGATCCATAAGGCTGGCCTCTTTCCCTAAGTAGGCAGAATGGAAGGTACCCTATGGATAAAACATGATGGACACAATGAAGCTCCCATCCTCCCAGGAAAGGCCAAAGACATTCATTATCAATGCATTCTAGATTCGTACAGCACATTTCCCGTGTGACACCAGACAGCTAGACACAACACTTAGGTCAAAGACCTTGCATGGGAAGAAGCAGCTTTTCTTCCACTGTCCTTCCAAGAGAGGGAAGAAGGGGGTTATCCCTGCCTTGGAGAGGAAAGGAGGGAGAGCCTACACCTGCTATGGGAAAGAAGGGCTGCTATGGTAAGGCAGGAGGTGACTTAGGAGATATGGGTTCAGTTCCTGCCTCTATCACAGATTTCCCATGTAGCGTTGGGCAAGTCACTTCCTCCCTCTCCATCTCAGCTTCCCTAGCATGTCTTCCTTTGTCAGTCTTGGCGAAATAGATTGTAAACTCTTTGAGGCAGGGACCGTCTTACTGTGTGTATGGAAAGTGTAAGGGTCCCAGGTCTCAGTGTGGGACTGTGGGCACCGTCATAATACACATTACCAATAGCAGTGCAGGTAGGAAGGAACTGATTACCACATGGCTGAAGGAAGAAATTCCCTCCCACAAGAAAGAAGGGCCCATTACCCCCTCCATGGGTGCCGAGGGACAGATAAACCACTCACCAAGCTACCACCGACAAGTCTGCTGGGGGAGTCACTTTGCCCATCTCTTTCCTCTTCCATATCTCCTGGCCCAGTGCACACGGCACATCCTTTCACCTGTTACGAATGGTCTGGAGCTGGGTAGCTGGAGGAGACTGGATAGTGCTGGGTGCACAGAGTCTGTGGGGGATGAGGATCATATAGGTGAGATGGAGAGCTGTTCCTCCCCAGGTCCAGAGAGGACAGAAAAGACATCAGGGCTTAATTCTGACATCTTTATACAGTGTGTTTTGTTTATCCATTCCTTACACAAACCAAACTCTCATCGGCTTCTACAGAGCCATTGACTTATTTATTGTTTGTACTAGGAACCCCAGTCACAGACCAGGCTGTTGTTCTGCTAGGCCAGGGCGGGCAAACTTTTTGGCCTGAGGGCCACATTGGGTTTCCAAAATTGTACGGAGGGCCGGTTAGGGGAGACTGTGTCTCCCCAAACAGCCAGGCGTGGCCCGGCCCCTTCCTCCTATCCGGCCCCCCTGCTTCTCGCCCCCTGACGGCTCCCCTGGGACTCCTGCCCTATCCAACCCCCCTGTTCCCTGTCCCCTGATGGCCCCGGGACTCCTGGCCCATCCACCACCCCTGCTTCCTGACCACCCCCGGACTCCCCACCCCTGACTGCCCCCTGCCGCCCCATCCAACCCCCCTTCTCATTCCTGACTGCCCCCCCCAGTACTCCTGCCCCATCCAACCCCCCTGTTCCCTGCTCTCTGACTGCCTCGACCCCTATCCACACCCCTGACCCCTGACCACACCCCCGAACTCCCCTGCTCTCTATCCACCCCCGCTCCTCCTTGCCCCCTTTCCGCGCCACCCAGAGCACTGGGTCAGTCAGTGGCTCTACAACTGTGCTGCCCAGCCGCCCAGAGCGTTGCGCCCGGGGCGGGGCATGCTGTGGCTGCAGGGAAGGGGGAACAGCAGGGGAGGGGCCAGGGGCTAGCCTCCCGGGCCAGGAGCTCATGGGCCGGGCAGGAAGGTCCTGCAGGCTGGATGTGGCCCGTGGGCCGTAGTTTGCCCACCTCTGTGCTAGGCACTGTACAAACACAGAACAAAAGGATAGTCCCTGCCCCCAAAAGCTTACAATCTAGCCTGACCTACATAAACCCTGCGATTGAACTTGAGGATCTGGCCCCGGATGAATACTGCAGCTTAAGAGGAGCATGGCAGTTGAAGTACTTACAAGCCCATTGCCACTGCCAAGTGATTCATGGAGCACTTTTCGAAATGAATTTTCTGGAAAACAAATTAAAGGAGCGGTGACGTCATGCTGCCTGGCTGAGGCTCGAGCGCCGCTCCAGAGCACTTAAGAATCCTTTTGAGTTTGGGTGCTGCCTCACACACCACGTTGCTAACAGCTGCTGCTTCTGCTGGGGAATTTGCAGCAAGCTGTCTAAATAGACTGTAACAATAAATTGATCAAAGCAACTAAATATTATTGTCTGCTGTCTGATGGATGGGTTAGAATAATATCACCAGAAACCTCTTTCACCATGCAAAACGGCAGACAAACAAAACAAGCCTCTCAGTGACTGTTAAGGTAGCAGAGTTAAACACCAAAAGCCATCAAAAGCCAAAATTTCCAAAGCCAGGAAATTCCAGTTCAGGACAGCCTTTTAGCAAAGGCACTGGGCTGGAAGTCCAGCTCACACAGAGCGGACAGGCGAGGTTGTGGTCATGACGGTGGCAGTGGGATAGAAGAGATGTAAGTTCAATTCCTGCCTCTGCTACAAGTTTCCGGTGTGACCTTGGACAAATCACTTAATCCTTCTGTGCCTTGGTTCCCCATCTGTGAAAGGGGAAAATAGTGTTTACCTCATTCACAGGGACGTGAGGATAAATTATTCAATGTTTGCAAGGCAATGAGCTATTACCGCATCAGGGGCCATATACATAACTAGTTAGAACCTCAACTCTATCCCATTGTAAATCTCTGTAATGCACTATGGCCATAACATGTAGATACTGTGGTTGTTTGTACAAATACAATTCAGGATCTTCATCAGCAAAACCACAGGCCACCACCCCTGGAGCCAAATGCAAACTCTACTAAGGAGCAGATTGTTACAGCTAAAAAAGGGAGACATATTCATGCTTACTTAGGGCATTACAACAGAGACTCTAGTTACATGGAAGTTACTATCTCAAATGGAATATATTGTGTCTAGTGCTAGATACAAACAAGAAAATATCCTTGCCAAAAAAAAGTCTCTTTTATTCAGGTGAGCTGATTTTTATTTTCATGGAGAACAAATACTAATGCAAATAAATATGCATGAGACCATTCATTCTGGCCACTTTGAAAAGCTCTTTATTATTTGCACAATAGATCCAAACAATGATGAAGGTTCACAAATCATTTGCAAACCAAGTAGCATTCTCTTTATATTATCTATATAATATACCTATTATCTTAGGTCTTCCAGTCGGGAGAACAGAAACCACATCATGTGACATAGACGTCCAATCATATGGCCTGAAGAGAAGAAGGCAGTTCCAATGGTTAGGGGACTAGCCGGAGATTGGGATTCAAGTCCCTGCTCTGCCAGAGACTTCCTGTGTGTCCTTAGGCATGTCACTTAGACTCTCTTAGTTTCTCAGTTCCCCATCTGTATTAAGGAGATAATAGCACTGCCCTGGCTCACAGAGCTGCTCTGAGGATGAATACATTAAAGATTGTGAGGTGTTTTAATACAGCTAAATGTACATGTATACTTCTAGGAACAAAGAACATAGGTCATACTTACAGGATGGGGGACTCTCTCCTGGGAAGCAGTGACTCTGAAAAAAATTTGGGACTATGGTGGATAACCAGGTGGACATGAGTTCCCAGTGTGATGCTGTGGCAGCCAAAAGGGCTAGCGCAATCCCTGGATGCATAAACAAGAGAATCTACCTCTATATTTGGCACTGTTGTAACTGCTGCTGGAATACTGTGTCTATTTCTGGTGTCCACAATTCCAGAAGAATGTTGATGAACTGGAGAGGGTTCAGAGAAGAGCCATGAGAATGATTAAAGGATTAGAAAACCTGCCTTACACGGATAGACTCACAGAGCTCAATCTATTTAGCTTAACAAATGATGGTTAAGGGGTGACTTGATCACAGTCTATAGGTACCTACGTGGGGAATAAATAATGAGCTCTTCAATCTAGCAGAGAAAAGGTAAACCACAATCCAATGGCTGGAAGTTGTAGCTAGACAAATTCAGACTGAAAATAAGGTATGAATTTTTAACAGTGAGAGTAATTAACCATTAAAACAACTTACCAAGAATTGTGTTGGATTTTCCATCAGTGGCAATTTTAAAATCAAGATTGGATGTTTTTCTAAAAAGTAGGATCTAGGACTTTTTTCAGGAAATTCTCTGGCCTGTGTTATACAGGAGGGTAGGCCAGGTGATCACAATGGTCCCTTCTGGCTTTGGAAACCATGAATCTATGATGAAATCAAAACTATCTATATGAACCTCTTGGGTCTGCAAAAGTAGCCTGGAAATTTTTCAAGAACTGGCTCTTGCAAGATGCTTGGTACTTCCTGTTTCCACCTGGGCTGGAAATATACTGAGACTCTCTATTACTTATATATAAGGCCCTGTGAAAAGTGTGGATTTTTTTTAGACAATTCAAAGCAGTATCATGAGTAAAGTATTGAGTTTCACACAATACGCATGGAATGTAGTCAGCAAAAGGTCACTGCTGCATTCCTTTGCATAAAACTGAGTGGCAAGTCCCCCCACAAACCGCTGCTCCAACATGATGCTGCCACATGCCACGAGCCATGCTGAGAACGGTATCAGGGTGTGCAGATGCCCGTTTCCACTTCCCTCCTGAGGCTGTGGCTGCTCACGTTCCAAGTGGCAGTGGCAGACCAGTATGCAAGGATGCCCGTTTCTGCCTCCCCGCTGGGGCCGCGGCCACTAATGTGCAGAGTGGTGGCAGTGGGGGACCGGTGCACACAAATACCCATTTCCGCCTCCTCATTGAGGCCACGGCTACTCATGGTCCGAGTGACAGCAGCGATTGGCTACTGTGCCTCCTTCTCTTGCTATAATGGTGCCGTCACAGATGCAACCTAAAATAGCAGACGGAAAGAAAGCAACAAGATCATGTGACCGTGGTCTCCATTTCTTTCTTTTTAAAAAAATAATATTGGGAAAATTGTGGTATTGGGCTAATTTCACAATTTCCACAGAGGCATAAAAATCACAATTTTCACAGGATTTTACTTATACACAGTCATCTTTTGTCTATTTTTCCTATTTGGGCAATTCATTACTGCCCACTGTTTTCCACCCCAGGATTGAGGGTACAAGATTAGAAACATCACCTTTTGCTGTCAGTTTCTTCTACAATTGTTCAGTTCTATTCCCAATAATGCCTCTACTTCCAAACTTATGATAAACAGACCCACATCCCAAGTTGCCTCTCAGACCCATCTATACAAAAAGTTTCTGTTGTATTTTAGTTGAGTCTGCAGCTGTTCAATTCCCTTGCTCCCTAATTCGATTTACTTTTCATAATTTCAGTTAATAATGATATTTATTTTAAGCCTTTTTTCAATTTTTATCTATATTCATTTTCAAACTTGCAGGTGATTATGGGGGGGATAGCACACTAATTATTTAATTCCAATAGATGTTGAGATTCAAAAAATTTAAGTTTTATAACTGTAAAAACACAAATTGTCAACATCACATGTCAAAATATACAAAGTAAAGAGCCTTAAATCAAACTCTAATAAACTCTCAAGAAGCATTTTTCTTACTTTGCCTATCTGTAAATTTCAATTATTCTTGATGGAAATATTTTTCTGTCCGTTTGTGTGTGTACAAATGTCTAACGACATTTACCAAGCCTACCTATTTGCCAACAACATGGAATAGTGAGAAAACACTTTTAAAAGACAGTTGCTTGACTATCAGGAAAACTTCCCATTGCTAGGAAGCACGGACACGGGAAACTAACGTCCAGTGGTTGCCCTTGAAAAGTTTCTTCTATTTTCAGAGATTACCAGCTCCCCATTCTAAGTGTAGGGAATGTCACTGAAATGGGTAGAATGAGAGAATTTTTTTTGAGTACTGCCACTGTGTTGCAGTCCATTTAGTCCCTCTCTGGGCCAGTGCGGGACTCATACCTGTTACAAGTGTTCTAGACCTAATACGAAACCTATGGCAGCTCTTCCATTGCCTTCAAAGGGCTTTGGACCAAGGTCCAGCCATTTTGTCCAGTTGTTCAAGCCAAGAAGTATCCTTCAGAAAACAGAAATCCAAGCCAAATGAAGCCAATAAAAGGAAAAAGGTCTGGAAGGTGAAATGTAAAATGGGAGTTAGGAGGGCCTAGGTAAGAAAGAGTTGGAAGAGCAAATAGCCAGAGAACATTATAATATTTGCAGACCCATAGTCTCATCTCTTGTATGAATGTTAAGGAAAACTTTCAGAGAGATGGCATGTTTCTGGAAAAATTTGCAGACAACCCAAAAATGGGTGGAATTATGAATAATGATGGAGATAGGTAAATTATGCAGAATAATCTAGATTACTTGGTAAAGTGGGCTCCTTTGTTGAATATACAGTTCAACACAGCCCAATGCAAGGTCATACATTGTGGAACAAAGAATGTAGGTCACACTTATACGAAGGGGGACTGTATTCTGGAGAAGAGTGACTCAGAAAAGGACATATGGTAGATAACCAGTTGAACATGAGCTCCCAGTGTGATCTTGTAGCCAAGAGGGAAAACACAGTCCTTGGGTGCAGGGCTGGGTGCCAATAGGTAGATGAAGCACGTGCTTAGGGCACCAGCAAAGCAGGGGCACCAAAAAAAAATGAGATTTTTTTTGAAAAAATTTGATATTTCAAAAAAAGCATTGAAGTAGTCACCATGGGAAAAATCAGAACTTTGTTAGATTTCCTTACACTCCGTTACACACTCTTTCCCCTGTTTTTCTGGTCTCTTTTTATTACTTATCCCCACCTAAACCAGGGGGGCGTCCTACTAACACAGATCGAAATAATGCGAGGAAATCAGATCCTGTCATGTACTGCAATAAATTTATGTTTTATTATTGATATATTCTTCTGAGTTATACATACTTGATTTGTTTTTTTTCTCATATATATATTATATATATAGACATAAAAATAGTGTACGTTGTGTAATTTGGGGGGTTTTTAAGTTCAGATAACTGAGATAGCGGGCAGGATGAAACGTAACCAACTGAGTGGAGCACAGAAA